TTGATGATGTAGGACTAGCATTATCAATACAAGTAGCATTCACATTTTTATCTGGATCGAAACCCCCTTGAGGAGCTACTGTCTCTGGATAGACAGCTTTATTCAATACTTGATAAGGACAGACATTGTAGAATACAACAATCCGATTAATAACAGTACAAGATCCTTGGTCCCATATAGCCAGATACAGGCCAGAACTAGATACAGCAAATGACTCAGAGTCTGTTGTAGCTCCTTCCTCAGCAGTGTGTATCAGACGAACACCAGCATATGAATAATAACTGATATTACCTCGGTTCATGTCATCTAGTTCATTAGTTTCAAATGTCTGCACTTCAAATGTCTGCTGCTGGGCACACTGCTGGCTTGAGCACACTAAATTCGATGAGAACGTTACATTGATTCTTAATTGGCTTATTCCTGGTTCACTAATATTAATGTATTGTGTTACCATCCAATTGCTCTGGAATGAAGATGTTCCTCCAGGGATCAAACTAGCACAAACATTGATTTTATGTAAGCACTGCACTCCTTGATTAGCATCATACCACTACATGAGATAATAATAAAATAATAATAATTATTATTAAAATAATCTTACAGAATCAACAAATTCAGCAGCACCAGGTCGACCCACTCCCCCTCCATCATAATCAATAGTCAGCCATGTCCTATTTTCTCCTTCTGATCCAACAAGAAGAGTTGATCTGTAGTTCTGTGAGTCCAATAGGATCCTTTCATTAGGAAAAGTGACATTTCTTATTGGTATATCAGAACAATGAGGATCAGCATCATCAGGAGCAACACTTTGAGAAGAGACACACTGAAAGATACTTAAACTGCCAAGCAGTAAAAGTAAAAGACAGAAGAGAGTAGACATGATATCCTGAAGTGTCCTACTCCAGTCAGCAAATTGTTTATTTATGCCCATTATGCTGACTGTTAGTATTGGATTTGTCACACTAAGCCACAGCAATAACATTAACATAATTATAAAAGGACTGTAATACCTTTGTTATGTATTTTTTATCATAATAATAATAATTGTGACAAATATAAAGAACACAATAAATAATAAAAATGTTTCTTGATAATTATTATAAAATAAGTACTATCTCCTTCCTTTCCTAAAGCAACACACAGTTAATCCACACCTCTCTCTCTCTCACCTTCTATCCTGAAAGGCTTGTAATGTTTGTAATAGAAGTGCTCGTGCCTCCATAGCCCGTGACTGTCTGCTGGTGTGAGTTGACATGTACAATGGTACATTCATAACCTACAATGTGCATGTGCATAATGTATATACATGTAGTTTGAATTGACACTTCTCTAGTACCTTAACTTGTCCTGCATTAGTTAGTGATGGTAATAATGCAGTATCTGTTTGATCTTCATCCTATGAATTATAATCTATAATTATTACTTACTCTGTACATACAAAGTAAGCAACATGCATGCAAGTACAATTAACTGCTGCATGAATTGTAGATCTATTATAGTAAAAGCTGAATCTGAAAGAAACTGAAGCTATGCATGTATTTATAAATTCATTGTAAAAAGTCAAAAACCATAACCATGTACATGTATAGTACAAGTATTGTACTTGATGTTGGCATCTGTCACTGAAAGTTGCTTCTGCTGTTTGTCTCTCATCAGATGTTACCATAACACCATCTAGTGATTGTAAAGAAGGCAGTTTGTATATCAGTAATGACCTGTGTTGCATTCTTCTGGAGATCTAAGAGAATATACATGAGTTTAATGCAGGAAAAGACAATCACATTATATGTAATCACACTGAAAGAAACTTAAACTGCCAAGCAGTAAAAGTAAAAAACAGAGTATAGTAGACATGATATCCTGAAGTGTCCTGCTTCCAGTCAGCAAATTCTTGGGTAATACTATCCATGCCTTATGTATGACTGTTATTGTCATTAGAGCCACTATCAATAACATTACCATAGTAATAGTGTATTTTTATCATTGTGACAAGTACAAAGAACATA